ACAGAATGATTTGTAATGTGGTGCAGCAGAGGGAGTCTCACCGGACTGGCAATTCAGGAACTGGAAAGGGGTGTATTCTAACTCTCTAGATGCCTTGTTTTATTGTCTGAATCTTCAAACAAGCTTCTTGATTTAAAACACATGACAATGAACACATTTATATTCCCATGTGATATTACAAGTAGTAATATTCTATTTTCCGTATTGCTTAACTAGCAATTAATGCTTCTGGTACTTAGATACTTCATTAATATCCATCTAATGCTTCCAACTCTTCTTCTGCGAGTTAGAAATATTCACAGTATTCAAGTATATAAATGATAAACTTGATTTTATATGTAATTTGAAAATAGTTTCATTTGAAATTTTGTGTACAAGTTTTGTTTGTGAAAGTTTTTAAATTATTATTGTCACTTCCTTTAAAAAGCATTTATTTGAAAGGATAGGGTTACAGAGAGAGGTCTTTCTTCTGCTGGTTGCCATCCCAAATGGCTGCAACAGCCAGGGCTGGGCCATACTAAAACCAGGAGCTTTTTCCAGATCTCCCACATGGATGCAGGAGCCCAAATACTTGGGTGATCTTCTACTGCTTTGCAATGGGCATTAACAGGGAACAGGATTCGAAATGGAGCAGCCAGAACTCAAGCCAGCACCCATTTGGGATAGCAGCAAAGCATAACGTGCTATGCTATAACACAGGTCTTCACTTCTTTGTTTTTATTTACAACGTGATGCCATCCTGTCAAGGTGTGTTGAAAAGTTTGTGCCCTTCAACAACTGATTTCCTGCCTGTATGTTTCTGCTACTCATATCTATCACTTAAACCATCATAGTTCATTGCAGTAACTGCCTAAAACTTTCTGTAAACAATTCCTCAAAGAATGCCTGCTGCAAAAGATCAACAGATTATTCATTCAGCTTAGGCCAACCCCCACCATCCCCAAGCTGCTTACCAGTTACCCACTGTGTGTTGTGAACTATGTTGGCCTTGGTCAAGGATGGTCAGGGTTGCAGATGCTGTGATGTGCTTCTCTGACAATCTAGGAGACCAAGGTTCTCATTCCCCAGACTGTTGGGAGTGCTAAAGCACAACAGTTTATAGTTGAATCCTTCCTGGTAATTACCTTCATTTTAAGGGTACCTGCTGGTCCAAGATTTCCCCTAGCAGTCAATACTGATTGCAGATTCAGGGAATGTAAGACTTTATTCTTCAGTACAAAGGAGGATGGCATTCACGGATAAACCAGCTTAGTTTTCCATAATGCCATCAGAGAAAAGTCTTGGTTATAGCCATAACTGAGCTCCTCTTTCTGCCCAGGTGATCCCCCAAGCTCCCCCAGGTGATGACAAGGACACTCACTGATCAGCTCCAATCATCTAATCTTTGTTGCCGAGTCTTTTCTAGCAAACTAAACCTCAGACTATGGTTCCTTGTAGGGAGGGAGGACCTGGAGGTCCACTTGAGACACTAAGAACATTGTATTCATGTGTCATCCATCCTGTGGCAGTGCAATAAGTTACTTATTTTATTGAAAGTATGAATGACACTTGAACTTCCTTTTGAAGAATGAATGGGAATTTTCCAAATAAATTAAAAGGTGGGAAGTATCTTGGTTTATCAAAGAATGTCCCTTATTACAGATTTGGCACAGAGCATAGAATTGAGGCTGGACTGTGTGACCCAGTAGGGAGAGCAGTAGAGGAGGATCAGGGTAGGTGACTTCTAAAGATGTGGAAGATTTTTCAGCTGGAAAGTGCTCTATCTCCTATGTCCCCACCTGTCCAGCATCAAAGCCATATTTCCGCCTGCAAGGAATGATTTGAATAGATACATTGAATAGTTTCTCTATCCTTCAAATCCACATTTTAATTAACCATTTAACACTTCAGAAAAGCTTACTATTTATATGGTGAGTATATATCTTTTTGTCAGGCCTGAAAACAACCATGTGGAAGAAAACAGAAAGATTTCTATCTGTGGTACTTAAAATGCTATGATTAGCAGTTTCTCAAATTATAACTGGGAAGACTATGCAGTGTAGTAGCCCAGGTTTCTAACAGGCAAGTTCTTTCTTCAAACCACTACAGCATTATCCAGTTGTTTCTATATTTCTGATCATGGAAATGTTGACCTTTCCCTATTCTGTTAATTCTGATATATCATAGAGTGTTAAAATTGCAGAATTGAAATTATCATTTCACAGTTGAGAAAACTGAGGTTTTGAGAGGAAAAAATTATATAGCAGATTTTGTTGAAGATTTTTATGTTTTTGAAAGGAAGAGTTAGAGAGGGAGGTCCAAGTTCTAAGATCATCCTCTGTTTTCCCAGGCACATTAGCAGGGAGCCAGATCAGAAGTGGAACAGCCAGGATTCAAACTAATACCCATATAGGATGCCATTGATGAAGGTGGTAGCTTACTGTGCTATGTCATAACACTAGGCATATACATTGGATATTGATAAAAACCAAAATGACAATTCATATTTCTCATCTAACAATTTCCCCTCTGTACAACTCCATAATGAATTTCTCTGTTCCTTCTGTGAATTACTGGGCATTAAAAAAAACTGGGCATTACTTCCACCTAACTGGTCTCTGCTCCTCCTGAGATGGGAGCCTAGCTAGAGGAGTTCCCAGCACTTGCCTCCCTAACATTGTAAAGGCTTCTGTTTTCTAGGAGGGGAAGTGTTGTATGTTCCTAGCGGGCCAGAGTCTGAAAGGCGTGTCCTCCTCCATCATTTGCTAACATAAGCTGTCAGTAAATTACAACATGCATTTCCTGATTCGGGGGCATTTTATAATAGTCCCACACTCTTGGCATGTTTTACTTCCTTTTCCTTTGCAGCAGAGATGTTCAAATTAGCCTGTCCTTTGAACAGACTCTCCATAGACCATAAACTCTTCTCCTGAGAAACTTGACTAAACCTTCTATGCTGCTGCTGCGTTTCAGTAAATGAGCTGAATCTGGCAGCCAGGCCTCACTGCAAACAAAAACATTTTCTGGTTAAGCATTTTCTGGTTTGTTCAACTCCATGACAGGGCTAGCTTTAAAACAGTTTTTTAAACCCACGAAGGAGCAAAACACAAGGCTCGGGAAACCAATTTCCAGCCACATTAGCTCAGCTCATCTCAGTGGAAAAGCAGCAGGACCCTGCTTCACCAGACCATCATCGTCATCACTGGCAGACGCTCATCCTATGCATGTCTGCTATTTTAATTTCACCACTTCAGAATGGGGCAAGAAAATAGGTTAATAGTTTCCATGAGTTTAGACTATGACCAGAAGCATGCTGAGCAATTTCAGAACCTCGGGCAACCACAGTTATGAGGGGAAGATGATGATGATGATGATAGATTAACCAATTCATCTTGGAATGGGTTCCAGAGTCAGGGATTCAAGCCAGCACTGTGCGGGAGGGATGTAAACAGTATTCTTTCATTCACTCTTTTGCACGTATTTATCCTTAGCATGTTTTTATTCTATTGCAATATGGACAGAAAAATCCATTCTTTAGACTCGGTCCTTTCCCTTGATGAAGTTACAGTAGAGTCAAAGAAATAAACATATGCACATGTAATTTTAATGAAGTACACACTGAATGTTGTCAGAAAAATGCTCAGGATGGGAGAGAAAGAGGCAGTTCATTCTCAGTGCGTAATGGAGAAAAAAATTCACAAGTATATGCCTCTGACCTATACCTTCAAATGGCAGAATGGCAAAGTGCAGGTCATGTAAGGCATTGGTTCAGGTACAAAAACTGTGAATGCTTGTCACAAGGACACACCCTGACATGTTAGAGACTAAGCCTAGACAGAGAGTTGAACACTACCTAGGCACTTATGTCTGTGCATCATAGAGCTGTAAAGCCTTGTTACCTGGAAAAGTATTTTGTCACCTCCGAGTTTTAGAAATATTTGGGGTCACTGTGGAAGCAAATTATGGGAAGTAACAGGCAAACAGTGTAGGAAATCCTGATGCCATTGCTGTAAGTCACATCTGAAAGTTAGTTACACACACCTTGCCTCACAAACATTTAGAGATTCACATTGTAAGAATGCAGCTGCTCCTTAATTTTCACATCTCATTCAGGCTTGTATTTTCCCTATTCATTCCACATCCTAGGTTTTCCCAGTTTGAAACCCAGTGAGTCAGGCAACATAGCTACTCTGCTTGGTAAAAGGATGAAATTCACAGGAAGGATGGAAATCCTGAGTCCCACCTCACTCAGTGGTGTGTGTTTTAAAGGGTAGAACTTTTTCACTAGGACAGCATGTGACGTAGCAGTTTAAAACACCACTTGGATAACCAAGATTCCATATTGAGATGCCTAGGTCTTGGTTACCAGACAGACCACTCTGAAAAATTAGGGACCTTAGGGACTTCACTGTTTTAATGATGACTCACCTTTTAGGAGCTACAGTGAAATATCCTTCATGGATATTAAACTTCAGGCTCACTTACCATCCATTGTAGTTAAACAAAATTTACTACAACAAAACTGTGTCCATCTGTTTACATGTATCTGACTGTTCACCTCATAAGGGCAAAATTAAGTTGTTCTAATACAAATATTTATAATGCAAAAACTTACAGCAATGTTCAATATCACACTTGCTATCATGGGAATGAACAAGGGTAAAAGTCAGAGAATTGTAATCCTCAATCCTGGATTTAATACCCACACCCTAGGTGACTTTAGTAATTTGACTTGACCTGTCTAGGTTTTTTTTTTTTCTGTTAAAGATTTGAGTGAACTTCAAAGAGATGATGGAAATGGAATTAAAATATGTATGTATATGGGGGCAAAAATATTTGAAAATCCATGTATGGTTTTTTTCACCAAGTTTCCACTGACTTTTTGAGGACCCCTCATATGTACTACTCTGTATTCCTGAGAATTCATGACAAGTTCAGTGTGTTTTGAAAACATATTTGTGATATCCACACAGCTGCCTTGAATTGCAGCCCAACCATGACATTTTTCTTTCCCTCCATAGAACACGCTGGAACGGTGCAACGTGTGCTCCAAGCCCATCATGGAGCGTATTCTTCGTGCCACTGGGAAGGCCTATCACCCTCACTGCTTCACCTGCGTGATGTGCCATCGCAGCCTGGATGGGATCCCCTTTACTGTGGATGCTGGCGGGCTCATTCATTGCATCGAGGACTTCCACAAGTAAGCAACCTATTTTCCCTTGAAATCTGTCTGTCCTGATTTGGGCTCCACATTCTAGGCTCTCAAGAAATAGCAGAACATTACAACCTTATTGATTTTCCATCCACGATAGGAATTCATATCAGGACATGCATGTGGACATCCAGCTTCACTTCTGCTCAGTGCTACCTTGAGGTTTGTCCATCACGTCTGTGTGTGGTTCTAGTTGTGTAAACATTGATTCAGTTGCCCAATATACATGTGTGAAAGTGGCAGAATCTTATGCTAAACATGAATAAGATATGTGACATTTGAAAAATTACCCAACTTCTCAGCGCTCTTCAATTTGGTCACCACACCAAACCCTGCGCGGAAGCACTGTCAACTCGGACAGCCCAGGGTTCTTTCTAGAACTTACCTCCACATCCCTGACTGAACAAGTGGGAGCCTCAAGCTCTTCCGGTTGTAGGCCTCTTGCATTCATTCAAAAACAGCCTATGCCACCAATGACAAATTCACATGTTTCCCAGCCTCTCTGCCTACCCAAATGTTTTCTTCCTCTTGCCATTTTCTAATGAAGAGAATTAGTAAAGTCTTGTGCCATTATTAAAGGAGGAATACAAAGTAGGGTGCTAGTATCATGAGTATGGAAAAATATGTCCCTCATTCCGTTAGGATAGTTGGAATTTTCATTTGGAGAATTATACAGTTGTGTCCTTTGCCTGTTTTTATATGGACAGTTAGTGAGTTGCAGTGTATTTTTAGAGGGCTAGATGAATGTTATGAGCACGTCTATGAATGGTTGACACAAAGATCTCCAACTTAGGCATGCTAGGTGCTGGCCTTTCACTTTGTCATTCTGCCTATGAGGGGAAGCCCACATTGCTCACCTTCCTGGGAATGGCATCCAAATGTGCAGCCTTGTGGGATACGTTTTCACCACTCTGTTGATGGTCAGCAACGAGGGGGTGCTTTCCACAAGCAGTTGGGTGACCTGAGACTCATGTTTAGAAAACGAATTTCATGACCACCTTCCAGGAAGCAAGAAAAGTGAAAAGCTCAGAAGATGTGAGACTGAATGAATTAAAAATCTAAAAAAATAAAAGGCAGAATTTCTCAACCCGAATTAGACAAGGAAAAGCTCACTTTTAAAGGGCAGTCACAGCATAAATTGTTCTTCACGTTATTGATATTTTTAGCTTGTAATTACACATAAAAAAAAACCTGCATCTATTTAAGGGAAGTGAAAAGATACCAACAGGGGAGTGTGTTTCTGTCACGGCTTCTCTCTTTTCTTAGACTAACACTAATCCAAGAAAGACTGATAGATATAATCAGAGCACACATGTTTCTGTTGCTGGAAAAGACTGATAGCTTATACCCCTCAATTAAAACAGGAAATCAATTCTGACAAATGTAAGTTTATATCCATGCCATTTATCTTTCATAGGGGTGGGGAGCATAATTAGAGACTTGCGACTAGTGACATAAGTGTGTGGGTCTGAAAGCTCCAAAAAAGCAGACTTGAGTAACAAGAGGAAAAAAAAATTCAAACATCAGCTATCCCCACCGCTAGTCCAATGCGTGTTGGAATATAAATTATTTTTTAAAAATAATGTCTGCATGATTGATGGGTATATAGCAAGAAAAGCTTTTTGATCATTTCTCCCTTTCTCAGAGGAAAACAAGAGAACATTTTACAGAACTTTCTGAGCCTTGAACTTCCCAGAACACAAAGCAGCTAAAAGCCTAGTGCAGACTGAACATTGCAAGGCGAGGTAGACAAAGGACTACCAGCAACTTCCTTGTCAGTATTGTTGTTGCTCCTTCTGAATTGTGGTTTCTGGAAAGATTTTATTTATTGGGTTCACTTTCATTTACAATGATAAAGAACCTATTCTGTGCCAATGATTGTGCTAAGAGTTGATAGTAGCTGAGAACCATTTGTCTGCCTGTGTCTCTGAGAGATGCCATGTTGGGAAGGAGCTTGCCAAGAGGAAGGCAGACATTCCACCCAGACATCACTACAGAAAGGGCCAGATGCCAGGAGGCAGGTCCAGGTTAGGCCTTGCACTGGCAATCAGAAGAGGTGACTTGGCCCTAGTGTCCTAGCAGGTTTCAGAAAGTAAAATTCTAAGAGTGAGTTAAGTGGAAAACAAGGAGTGTCTTCAAGGAAGGATGTAGGGGGTAGTCCATTAGCAAGGTTTCAAAAAAGAGTAGTGGGAGGCTTTGATACATGAAACATAAATTTGAGACCAAATGGGCCATCCCCTCTATTCCACCTTTGGTCAACCTTGGCTGGTGTCCTCCAGGCTTTTGATGTGAATTCTTCCATTTGTGTCATTGTAGAGTGCCAACTTAGCTCCTAGAAACACATACATGCTCATGCACTTTCTCACTTCATATAAGTCATCATCTTTTTTTTTCCAATGGACAAATAAGAAGTGTGCATGTCTCTGGAACACAGTGTGATGCTTGTGCACCTTTACTCACTGTGTATTGATAAAGGCAAGATACATAGGTTATCCACTATCTAGCACTTCTTTGTGGAATCAAAATCCTCTTCTAATTCTCGTTATATTACATAACAATCACCCTTTTTGTAACAGCAAAGCATATTGTACTCCTATCTAGCTGTGACACTGTGCCTATCCACCAATCTGGCTTGAGTGCATTCTCTGGCTCTGTGGTAACCACTGTTACCACAACAGGATTATCACTAGTCTATCTTAAGCCTATAAACCAAGCATTTTTAGACTCTAAAATGAGTAGAATTGTGCAATGTTTATCTTTCTGTAAGTGGCCTCTTAACATTGTGATCTTGGAATCTATCTATAACATTGCAAGTTATAGGATTCCATCCTGCTATGAATTATACTCCATTGTACATATGAGCCCTTTCTTTCATCCATTGATAAACTCAGTTGATTCTGTGTCTCCGACACTGATTATTGGGAGAGCTGAACATAGTTATATTTTTAATTTTTGAAGAACCTTCATACTGTTGTCCTTAGCAACTAATTGCATGCCCACCACTAATATGAAAGTGCTTCATTTCTTCCACATTCTTACCAGCACTTTTTATCTTTTCTATTTTTGCAAACAGCTATATTTACTGGAATGAAATGATAACTCACTGTGGTTCTGACTTACATTTCTCTAATTTTGATGTGGAACACTTTTTCAAGTACTTGCTCTTTTTAAAGGCCAAGCTCAATCATCATCTCTGAGGAGACTGTTCTGATCTGTCCACCCCATCTCTATCTCTATGTTGTAATTTATATCTCTTTCTCTGTGTCTCTATGTCTAGTAGAATTTTATAAACTTGCTATAGATAGCCATGATCACAGTCTGGCTAGCAATGAAATATGTATGCATAAATTTTACAGCAGCTTTCTTAAATAATTGTTACAATAATATAGAACACATAAAATGAATAGAACAAATGCAAAAATACATAGAACCCCATCTCCATCCAGTCTGTGCTTTGATGCTTATTTTTGTATTTCAAATTTCATATGAAACTCAGAAGTGCAACCTAAAGTGACTGATTTCTTTTAGTGTATTGAGTCTGTATTCCACTCTCTGTGCTTTCTTACCAGGAATATTACCTTCATCCACTTATGTAATCGTCATCCTTTTCTAGACTGTAGGAATGAGCCAGGATACACTAGGATGATCCCTTTCTGAGCCTCACGATGAACCAATGAAAGTACTTCCTTGGGATGCTCCTGTCAGGAGAAAATAATACCAAGTTGTAAAGTGCTTTACAAGACTTGGCACATAACAAACAATACATAGTAACATTAGAAATCAAATGTTTTTTCTTCAAATTTGTTATTATTATTATGGCCCATTCAGTGAGCTAAGCCAAAAGACAGGGACTGTTCCTTGAATGGTGGACCCAGGAACACTGTGAGAACTGTGGGATCACATTCTTTGCAGTCACTTTGGTTTTTCCGACCTTGGAAATGAGACCAATTGCTATGAAAAAATCATTCTTCATCCATAGTATCTTTTATGTCTTTCCACATAGGAAGGACCTTAAGATTAAACCTAATGCCCAAGTTAGTTGTTTTTCATAAGGAAGAAAAAATGACAGATACTTCACTTTGTTAGTGAAAAGCCAAATTTCCTCTTTCTATAATAGTTTCAATTGTTGTTTCTAGAGACTCAGACAAAAAGCAAAGTTCTATCCTGTTCTTGGGGAACTAAAATTTAGTTGTCCTCAAATATATGCAAATAATTGTTACCAGAATAGGATGAAATTCTTTCATCAAATTTACCCAAAGTAGTAGGTAGTTTGCAGGAAGACGTCTTGGGATACAATAGTAAGCAAAAAATACTTCCTTCCTCAGAGTGTACAGTCCCAATAGAATTGAGGAAAAGAAGTTTTACAGTTGATTCCAAAAGCCTGCTTATTAAACTATCAATGACCCAGATTCAAAAATAATCAGGTAGTTCGAAGCAATATTTTTTGCCACTGAATATAAACTTCTTGCATAAAATACCAATTATAATGACTCTGATTACTGCTCCAGTTATACCATGATCCTTTTAATTTTTCTTTCACAGCAATCAATTGATCTGCTGCTTAATTCATATTTATTTAGATTACAGCCATACAGATGCCTTTTGGGTGCTGCCAGGAAAATTAATATGTACATATAGAGTATAATGTATGTGAAAATGCTTTGACAACCATAAAGTGCTGTGCAAAGTATTAGATGACTATCATTTCCTTTTAAGTCTGAGTACAAATAAATTTTAACATCATTAATCTTAAAACCATTACTATGAAAAAAACAGTTGTACCATTTTTAATCTCTTCAGTTCTTACCCATGTCTATTTCAATTCATCTCCCATTTCACACTTTCACAAATGCCACCCCCAACTTCCAGAAAATTCCACGAGGTTCATAGCCTATATTTGCAACCTACTAATCTATTACAAGTTTTTAAAAAATGTTAGGAACTGTTGGACATATTGAGAAATATTGGCAAGAATCAAGATGGCTGAA